TTCATGGTGTCGTGGGCACAAAGCGCCAATCATCAGCACAAATGAATAGTGTTGATACATGAAAGTAATGGAGGAATGAAGGAACGAGGGCGGAACTCGCCAAATTATAGTTGTGCACAGTGATATATGTATGTACATTTACAGTGCATTACATATTCTATATTTTAAATTTATTTACTTTGATGGTGTATGTCTCCTGGCTGTTAGGTGTAGTGTATTGTGTGCGTAGCAGATACTAGCGATTCATAGGGTGGAAATGGTACACGGATGACATAAGACTAACTGTACCTTCGTTGGTTCCACTTCTCACTCCCTCATTTCTTACGTCGTCCACTTGTTTGTGCAAATGTTGACTGGCGATGGTTTGCTGCCACTGCCGGTTGTTGAGGTGCCCTCACCCAGCATTGGTATTTGTTAAAAGTTGGCAGTCCTGATATTTGTGCTCATTCTTATTTACTCGTGCCATTGACTGGATTTATGGATTCTTCTGATTCACCATGCCACTTGTGTTCATTTTTCGCTGAAAGGAGTAATTGGCGTGTGTTTGCCCAGTACTTGCAGCATTATTGTTGTCCTAGCTAATGGGGAAAGGTCGTGTGACTGGTTGTAGTGAGTATGAGCGTAGTATTTTTAATGATTACAAGTGGGAACAGTTGGTGCTGCTGTTGTTGTTGTTGTTGTTGATGTTGTTGGTGGGATCTTTAATTCCGAGTATGCTGTAGCTACTGCTACCGACGAGTGAAGCGTACTGGATGTTGATTGAGTGTGATTCAGCAAGTTGCGTCAAAACCCGCATGACTGTCTTTGTTGAAATACATTTCCTACCTCCGAGTAATCCTTCCTCCCCTTCTTCTTCTTCTTCTTGTAATTTGTGTGATAGTTTAGGCGTTGTGCGGTTTTATGTCGGACAACTTTGTCAGTTCCTTCAGCTGATGTAATACTGTTAACAGAGGAGGGAGCAGCGTGCACGAATGACACGCCTTTGTGTGAATCTGACTGTGTTTAATGCTGTTCGTGTGAGCCATCGGACCGTGTGCGTCTAGTGTTATCAAAAGAAACGTCTTGGCATGATTGCCTCCGAGGTACTCATGAATAAATGATGTGTTCAGGGGATAGGCAGCGTCATGACGAGTACTTTGTAGGCGACACACGAATCGTCTTGGCGTGTTTGCGTCCCCTACTGTCTTGATGCAGTGGTCCCTGCGTCATCTCCGCCCTCTCCCTCCCTTTAGTCAGAGAGGCTATTAGCCTTGACTTTATGACTGTCACTAATATTATTTGTATTGCCGTGCGGCTGAGAGTTGATTGATGAGTTGCGGTGACAGAGATTGGTGCGGGTT